AACAAGGTGATGAAGACGGTGTCCACCATAGCCAGGTAGGTGCCTCGCCACTCTCCTCCTTAGCCCCCTTCTTCCTCCTCCTCAAGCTGGGCTGCTTGCCATAGCCAGGCTGAGCGTCAACTGCCCTTCACCTTCAAGCAACGTTGTATCAGCCAGCGATGTGCTCCAGCAGCATGTCGCCAATCCTTGCATACCGCAAATGAGGAGGAGCTACTTGCTCCTCCGAAAGATATAGCGGCCTACTGGCCTCCTGGGCGGTGACTTCCTAAGCCGAGCGGCCTCCCAGCAACCGGTACCTCCTCCCTTTCGGAGGGAACATCATTGCAGGCTCTGCTAACCTCCGGACAGGCCCTAGACCCGGGCTACTTGGACTGGTACCGGCCTACCTCTAGCCTACCGCTACTGGGCCTCTAACTTTTTGTCTTCTTCTGCTCGGCCTCCAATACCCGACACTTCTACCACTACTTCAGTGGTACCGGCCTACCTGCTACTTGAGTGTTTTTCCCCTCTGCTCTAAGTGCTGCGGGCCTACCCCCGCTACTCGAGTGTTTTCCCCCCTGCAACCCTTCACAGTCACGGCCACAGGTAAGTACCGGCCCTGCGGGGCCTTTCAACCAACAAGTACCCTTGCGGGTCACACACACACTCAACCGACAAGCACTCAGACAAGCATGCAAACCAGCAGGCACGCACACACACACAGACATGGAAATCACAACAGAATGCGGGAATTTCAACAAGGCATTCATTCCAGCAGCAAATCCCAGAAACCAGCAGTGTTCTCAGTCTGTGTTTTTGGCAGGTCATTACACATGGAATATCCGGTTCATTGCGTGTTGAAAGGTGCTACAGTCTTCCCCCCAATACAACGCACAATCATTATAGCTGAATTTAGACTGATATATGTACGAAATTCAGCAATAATGACCATACGTTGTATTCGGGGGAAGACTGTAGGAGCATTGCACAGGCCAAAAGGTATCACCACAAACTCGTACAGACCGTACCTGGTCTGAAATGCGGTTTTGTGTTGATCCTCTGGTCTGATGGCAATTTGATGGTACCTAGACTTCAGATCTATCTTGCCAAAGTACCGGCACCCTTGCACTCGGTCCAGCAAGTCATCGATGCGCGGTAGGGGCGCTCTGTTCTTTACAGTGATGGCATTGAGGCCCCTATAGTCAATGCACATCCTGATTGTTCTCCCTTTCTTTGGCACGAATAGCACAGGAGATCCGTAGGGAGAAACACTAGGCCGGCTCCAACCCTTCTCTGTGAGATCCTTGAGTTGGCAATGGAGCTCATCAAGCTCTCCCGGAGACATCCTATAGATCCTACCCTTCGGGATGCTTGACCCTATAATCTCTATTGCGTGGACGACCTCCCTCTCAACAACCCCTTTTGGCTCTTCACATAGATTAGGGTATTTCACGACAACTCTCTCTATCTCTGGCGGCATTTTCACCGGCTCGCTTGCCGCTGAGACATACACCAAGTACATACCCTCCTCCGGATTTTGCTTGTAATAATTGTAGAAGGCAGCCGCACACAAGCACCCGTAGGACTCAATCTGACTACTAGCCTTATGCTTACTTAATCTGACGGTCTCCCCTTCGGGCAACGTATGCTTGACCACTTCTGATCCCAGTCGAACTGGGGTTGTGCTACCGAAAGATAGTACATACCTAGGAGCATTTCCATGGGGAGATTATCGCTGACCAGGAACGAGATCCGATGCCTCAATTCCCCTCCCGCGTACGGGAAACAACACTCTACATCTTTTAGGTAGTCGGTGACTACCATGCGCTGCTTGTTGGCGCAAGTCGACTCTACCGGTCGGCTAAGGCGCTGCACTCGCCCCTCTAAGTGCAATCTCTCAACGCAAGCGCGACTGATGAAGTTCCTTGTGGAACAGGTATCATAGAAGGCCCCAACCTTACGGTTGCCTATCAACACCTCCCCCACGAACATCTCACCCTTAGGGGCTTTAACCATCGTCGTCCAAGAAACTAGTGGGTCTGTCCTCGACCACTCCTCCTCTAGTTCCTCTAAGGAGTCGAACACATCCTTCGAGCAGAGAATCGATTGGTCAGAATGTGCTCGCGGGACGACACAAGAGTCAGTAGCTTGTGCCAACTCTCGAGATGGCGAGGGTGACTCCACCATCTCGACCCTAGTAGGAATAGCTACACTTCCTACTGGCCTGACGTGTTTCCCAAACTGGTGCCAGACGTACTGGCTATGTTGCAGTTCATGGAAGAGGAGGGAGTTTGCGCCGGTCCCATCGTCGGCAGTACCTTCTCGATGACTTTCCCGTTCCAACACTTGAACTGCGTATGGCCGTTGTCGTAGCAAACACCCTTACAAGGGTATTTGCCGTCCTTTTTAAAGATCGCGCTGGGTGCGCCCTTGATCAACATGACGCGCTGATGGGGCAAAATTCAGTCAAGGCTCTCATCTCGGCAACCTCGCCTCTGGCGAGAGTCTGAGCCAAACGCAAAACGAATTAGAGAATGTGTAAGGCGCACATTATTGCGTTGCGTGGTGGGATGACTAATTAGTCGGTGACAATTTTAGACCGGCAGAAGGCGCGAGAGCCATAGGGTCCGGTTACTTTTTCTGTACTTTTCAATTTGGTTATATTTTTCTTTTTATTTTATAGAGACTAGCTTTATTTCGCGAATCAGCTCGGCCTCTGGTGGGGCTTATCATGAAGGAGATAAAATCGTACATTGCCCGTGCGCAGGAAAATTGTGTTGGGCAACGCGTTAAAAGACGTGGCCTTGACAGGCTTAGCATAACGGAAGCCGGAAGCTTCAACAATACAAATGGCGTGCCAGGTGGCTAGGGTACCAGGCAACCATAAACTTAGGCACGGGCGTCATCTTCTGACGGCCAGGGGGCTGGCCGGTAGACCAAGGCAAAGCCTGGTTGGCGCGGATAGGACCAATCACGGTCCCGCGAGTAATTATATGCAAGCCCCCGCCTACCTAGCGCAGCCTTGGGCCTAGTTCTATTGGTTACTGTACTGGACTTTTATGCGACAGATTTGGGGTTCAAGGTCAGCACGCGGCGAGTGAGCAGAGGAGCGTGACCAAACGAGACTGACTCTGACTGAGCGATCGAGGTCTTCTGGGACTATCCCCCTTGGTTTTGCCGAGCGGGCCCGGACCTAGATCCGGTTGGCGAGACCAAGAGGGTGTCGGTGAGTCCCCACCTCCCTCAGATCTCTATTTTGGGTTGATTTAATTTTAATTTTATGTTATGATCCTGGCCAATTTCGAAGTCCACAATCATTAGAAAGTACAATGTTGTCCAATTGCGAAAAGAAATGAATGAACTTGAGCCCAATGCCGTCCAATTGCAAAAGAAATGAAAGAACTTGAGAGGAGAGAGAGGGAAAGAAGAAGAAGAAGARTTAAGAAAGAAGAAAGAGATGATGTACTCCAGCATAGACCAAAGACAAAGYTCTTCTTCTTCGCTCAACAACCTCCTCCTCTTTATCTCCTCTTCTCTTATTCAATCAATAAATAAACAATAATAATGTTGAACAGCTGAACCAGAATCAATGTTCGAATCCCACTTCTACTGCAGGCACGAGATGAGGTCCACCATAGCCATGGCAGTCCTTCTTCTTCCTCCACATACAGGCCGAGGCTATGGCGGACTACTGAGGCTTCAGCCTCCTGTACACAAGACAACCCAAAGCAGCTATACTGCTGCCCTACTTTAAGGTCATCACCCAGCAGCTATGCCGCTGCCCACTCAACCGCCATGCCTGACTCTGTCTGAGCTTCCTTGATGCGGCACTACCCCCACTGGGGCCTTCCTGATGCAGCGCCTAGCAAGGAGATGAAGATGGTGTCTACCATAGCCGGTAAGTACCCCGTCACTCTCCTCCTTGGTCCCCTTCTCCCTCATCCTCCTACCGGTAGAGCTCCACCATAGCCAAGGTGGAAGCTCCCGGCTTCTTCCTCCCAGCAGCGCTGTAGTGCCCAGCGCTACTCCAGCCAGCGCTCCAACAGCGTGACGCCCAACTCGCACACTGAAGAATGAGGCCGGGCTCTCCGCCCTGCCTCTTGATATAGCGGCCTACTTGCCTCCTGGGCGGTGACTTCCAGGCCGCTCGGCCTCTCCAAGCAACCGGTACCTCCTCCGTTTCTGAGGGAAACATCATTGCAGACCCTGATATTACCCGTACAGGCTCTAGACTCAGACTGGTTGGACTGGTACCGGCCTAGACCTACCCTACCGCTACTGAACTCTAAAAATGCCAACTTTGTCTTTTTCTGCTCGGCCTCCAGTACCCCCTCATGCCAACTGCAGTGGGGTGCAGTATCTTGGCCTACCGGCCTACTTGAGTGTTTTTCCGCTACCCCAAGGGCCTCAGGGCCGCTAGCTTCACCACTTGAGTGTTTTTCCCTGCTACAATCCTCAATGCCACGGCCACAAGTAAGTACCGGCCCTACGGGCCTACCAAACAAGCAAGTACCCTTGCGGGTCACACACACACACTCATACCGACAAGCACTCAGACAGGCATGCAGGTCACAAGCACGCACACACAGACAGACTTAGAAAACACAGCAGAATGCGGGAATCTCAGCAAGGCATCCATTCCATCGGCAGAACTTCATAAATCAGCAGTGTTCTCAGTCTGTGTTTTGACGAGTCATTACACTACCCCCCCCTCAAGAGCGAGGTCCCTTCGAGCGAGTAACTCACTCAAAGTCCTTGCACAATGCATCGTAGGCGTAGATAGCGAAGAGAGATCGGGTGTATTCCGTAGGAGTCAGGGTAGCTGTGAATTTTGGTTGTTGTTCAGAACTTATCAATCGTTCGTAGGCGTTCACAACACGCGGTGCACTCTGTAGTAAGTCTTTCTTAGCAATCCAGTAGAAATCATCCAACGGATGGTACATAAAATGAACTTTGTACTGTCTGTTTCTTCCCTTCCCACTGTGTTCGACAATCCTATCAACCTCATGACCGCCATTGATTGCGCAGGGAATCATTGATTCTCAATACTTGAATGTTTCAGGTGATTCATACGGAAACAACTTCGATGCGTGAAAGACTGGATATGTGCGCAGATGAGCAGGCACATCGATCGTATACGAAGGGCCAACGGAATCACTCGCTACCTGGTTCAATACCTTCCACGGACCGTAGTACTGAGGAAGAAGCTTTCGTGACACACCTTCTTCTTCAGAAAACTCAGACATTTTGACCCAGACATAACTTCCCACTGTAAATGGTGCAGGCTGGCGCTTTTTGTTAGCATGCTTAATCATGGCACTACGTCGCCTCTCCATAGCTGCGACAGCAACTTTGAGAAGGCGATCAAACTTAGCGTTGTAGCCTGGCTGGCCAGGTGTTAGGCCAGGTGGCTGATCTGGGAACAGATAAGATAGAGGATTGCGGATTTTCCATCCAAGATGCAGCCGGTTAGGCGTCATCCCTGGAGAGGATGGGATGGAGTTGTTGTACAACCCCTGCACAATCGGCAACTCCTCATCCCAAGAGTTCTGATCAGGTACAATTAGAGCCCTGAGAAGTTGGATCACGGTCTGGTTGATTTCCTCAGCCAGTCCATTGGCTTCGGGATGTCGCCCAGACGTCATCTTGAGTTTCATATCGTAGGTCTGGGAGGTGAAATCTTTCCAGTCCGCACTTATGAACCTGGTGTCCCGATCACTCACAAGAGTTTTCAGGGGGCCATAATGTAGAATGTACCTTTTGTTGAATTCATCGATCACAAGGTCAGTTGGGGCGTGACGTGGCAAGGGAATCAAATTCAGAAATTTCGAGAACCGATCAACGATCACCATTAATTGTGAATAACTGTTTCTGCTCTTCTTCCCCATGTCCGTGAAGTCAATGGAAACAGACTCACCCGGGCCATCAGGGATAGGAAGAGGGTGCAGCAGCCCATAGGGCTTCTGTCGAGACGGTTTGATGCATTGACAAACTTCACATTCAGCCACAAACCTTTGCGCCATTCTTTTCATTCCAGGCCACACAAACTTTTCCAACAGATTCCCATACGTCTTCTCAACACCGAAGTGTCCACTCTGGACATGAGCCAAATCCAAGAAGTGAGTCGTGATTGGCTCATGGTTGGGTACACACAATCGGTCATGCTTCCCGTAACGTCGGAAGAGAAAGCCCTTACGTTCATGGAAATCAGGCTGACTGCTAGGGTCAGCCCGAATCTGGTCAAGGATGGGACTGAGTTCCGGGTCTTTGGCAGTATGCTCGATGAGTTCCTCCTTCAGATCTTTAAGCAGGTCGTAGGAACCCACAAGGCAAGTCATATACTCGGGGTGGCGAGACAAAGCATCCGCAACACGATTATAGCAGTCTTTCTTGTGTTTGAGTTCAAAATCATACACATCAATCTCATGCAGCCATCGGGTCAATGTGGTTGATGGGTTAACCTGTATCTGAATCCATTTCAAAGTCTCATGGTCTGAGAACACTTTGAAATGGCGACCCAAGAGGTAGTGTTTCCAGTGGTCTAGTGCCTCTCTCAAGGCATAGAGCTCTCTCATGTAGGTGGAAGCGGCTACCTTGTGACTGGGCATGCGTTTGCTGTAATATTCAAGCGGACCTAAGCCATCACCATCGTCTTGCTGCAGCACCGCACCAATCCCATACAAACTCGCACCCGTAGTTACTACGAATGTAAGCTTGGGATCTGCAATGCGGAGCACCAGATGACTCACCAAAGCCTCTTTCAATGCTTCAAAGGCTGTCGTGCATTCTTCATTCCATGCATAAGACACATTCTTGCTTGTTAGTCTAGATAGCGGACGGGGGATGATAGAGAATTTAGGCACAAACTTACGGTAATATGACGCAAGACCAAGAAAAGAACGCAGCTCGCGGACATTCGCAGGTTGAAGCTATTTTTGGATGACCTCAACTTTGGTTGCCTCGGGCTCTAGGCCTGCAGCAGACAACCGATGTCCGAGGTAGATGACGCTGTCCCTCCCAAACTCAGATTTCTCCAAGTTGAGATGGAGTTGCGCGTCCTTGAGGATCTGCATCACTTCCTCAAGGTGTTTCATGTGCTCTTCCATCGATTTACTGAAGATTAGTATGTCATCCAGATATACAACAACAAATCGRTTGATCTGATTGCGAAATACCTTATCCATGAGACTTTGAAAGGTGGCTGGTGCATTCGTGAGACCGAAGGGCATGACTGTGAACTCGTACAGCCCATCGCGAGTCTTGAATGTTGTTTTGTGCTGGTCTGCAGGTTCGACCTCAATCTGGTGGTAGCCAGACTTGAGATCGATCTTGCTGAAGACTTTGCACCCACTTGCAACGTCGAGCAGATCATCGATACGTGGCAAAGGATATGCATTCTTTCTTGTGATTCTATTCAATCCGCGGTAGTCAATACACATTAGTAGTTTGCCTCCCTTCTTAGGGACAAACAGCACCGGTGCACCAAACTCAGACTCACTTGGTTTGATCCATCCCCTCCCAATCATACCATCAATCTGTCGTCGCAACTCCTCCAATTCGCCTGAGCCCATACGATAGACGCAGCCCTTTGGAGGAGTGCTACCTTCAATCAACTCGATCTTGTGTCGGACCGGACACACGGGGACTCCATGCGGTTCGGCCAAGACTTTTGGAAATCGGTTGAGAAGGTTGCGAATCTTTGATGGGATCTCCGGAGGTGGATCATCACTCTCGGGTGCAAGCATACCAGATTGCATAGGTGCAACCAACACAACAGGATTGGARGTGGAATCATTTGGACTAGAGGTAGATTTAGTAGAGGTAGAAGTAGTTGCATCTAAGGTGGAAACAACATGCAAAGTAGAATCATTATGTACAACAAAAATAGAAGGCACATGAGCAGGCCTAACAAAGGCTATATACATTTGCTCATTAGTTTTGCGCCTGCGCCACTTTTTGCAGAATTGCATTGCATTGAGAAAGGTCACTTGGGACTCGCGCGGCTCATCCAAGAGGACTGGACGCTCGATTCCCATGGCATCTTTGACCATGAATTGTAAGTCCTTCCACGTGGTTCTTTCACATTGGGACTGCAACCAGCCCAAGCCAATAACCGCGTCGAAGGAGCACTAATCAAGGACATAGAAGTTCAACTCATGCGTGATTGTGCGATCAGCGTCAAAGGTAGTGCGCACACCTTTGACTGCATGCGTAGATGTGACAACCTCTTGGTTGSCTACTTGGGTCCGRCAAGGATTCTGCAAAGTCACTTGCTTCATCCCCAAGCGTGCCTTACGAATGCCGTGCGGTGAGAAGTAGTTGGTGGTTGCACCACAATCAGCCAACGCACGGATGTAACGGCCATTAATGTAGAGTTTGAAGAAGATCAACTTCGTTCTCCCTTATGCGCGTTCTTGCTTCATATGAGCCCCCAGCGCGTCAACAGAGCATGGAAGTCAATTTCTTCCGACTCTACCCAAGGCTCCTTGTATAGGATGTGTATCTTTTCGGCGTTGGAATCAGCATCAAATGGGGTTTCAGGAGAGGTTTGCTGAGTGGGATCAGAATCCAAAGAAGGATCTGTACTTACATGTTCCGCCTCTCCATCTGTAGAGTGTGCTGATGATGCCTCTACCCCCGTTGCTGGTTTCCCTGCTGCAATCTGAAACATTGTTGGACTGAATGTCCCGGTTTGGTGCAACGCAGGCAAACTCCTCTCTTCACCCTGTTCTTCCACTCACTTTCACTAATCCGGAGATCTACCCATGGTTTTGTGGCAGGATCTTCCGGTTTGGGTGGAATCTTTGCTCCCTTGGGAAGAAGGATAGTGTTAGTATTGTTCTTCATCGTGGTCCTCGGTCCCTTACTTTTAAAGGCAGTCTTCTTAAATGCATTCATAGATTCTTCGTCATTTACATACTCAGACTCATGGGCTGACAAAGAGCAAGATGCCCCGCAGTCTTGCTCTTGATCGTTATCAAGAGAAGATTCATCCACGAGGGTCTCCTCGTCAGCCTCAAGCAGATCGTGTGCTGCAAAACAATTGCTGCCTGGAAACCGTTTGCGGTTGGTGGCCTTTTTGCCACTTGATCCACCCGGGAGGTCTTGTGCCTCCAGCGTGACTAAGTCCCGCATGAGGGTAAGCCAATCTGTATATCCGCTGAGCCCGAGTCCTAGGCGATCTTTTAGAGTAGAGGGGACCGTACCTTTTATCACATCCAAGCAAGACTATGCAGTCATCTCCAGATCCGGAGTAGCAAAGAGTTTACTAACATACTGCTGCAAGCTGTGCATGGTGCGAGTCCACTTGTTGTGCTTGAGCTTGTCAAGCTTGAGTCTTGCTTTAGCTGCAGCATGTGGATCAGCATACTGTTTGATCAAGAGCTCTTCGAGTGTGGTGGTAGGCGTGGCCTTCAACCATTTGTTCAGGTCTATTCTCTTATAGCCTGATTGGACATCTTGGGTTTCCAGGAAACCTCTCACGACGGGCTCCACATTAGTCCCTAGGATAGACGACTGGGTTGACGAGGGTGTCCCCAACACATCAAAGTAGGATCGCATGAAGCTGATCCAAGTCTCGATGTCGTCCTTTCTGTCATACTTGGACAGAATCTGCGCCGCCTTCCTGTCGATGTAAGCAAAGCTGCCGCTTGGCCCAGCCATTGCAGGGTCCGGACTCGGGACTGCAACAGTTCCAAAATTCCCTGCACTACCACTTGCTGAGCAGCGGGGTCTGGACTTGCTGCAGATCTGCTTTGGCTGTTAACCACACTAAAAGAAGAAGAAGAAGGAGAAGAAGTAGACATAGTAAGAGGGGCAAAACTGGACTGGCACGCAGTATTGGAAGCAGGGTAGGTGAGTGGAGAGACAATCTGAGCCTGCTGCGCACTAGCAAACTGTTACAGCTGATCGCGGTGCTGCTGCACCATGTTGGCCATGTCTTCGCGCAACTCCTTGAGCTGCTTAAACACCTGTGCAAGTTGGCCAGTATGGTCCTCAGCAACCCGGACCCCTGCTAAGGCTCTGAGGAGCGGAACCGTTTCCTCTTCTACCTCCTCATCAGTCAGAGCGGACATGGTGCTAAGGACGGCCTCGTGAGCCTGCACCTTATCCCTTCTCTCTCTCTCTTTCTCTTCCTCCTCCCTCTTCAAGGCTTTCTCATAGAAGAACTGATACTGCGGTTTTTCTGCCTCAGGGGCAGCGTCCATCTGCAGTTTCCAATCTGCTGCAGATGCCATGATGGAGGATGAGGGTGTGAGTAAGACTCTCAAGAGGGGTCCATACTTCCTCTCCGCTTTGTGACGAACGCTCCTCTTCCCTCTCCTCACTCCCTCAAGAGCAACACTCAATAGCTTCTCTCTTCTCTCTCTCTCTCTCGTTTGCGATCGTGTAGACGCAGGCATTAAAGAACCCAATGGAAGAAACAGCTTGAAATCATTCAGAAGAGAAGGTAGAACTCCTAGCCGGAGCGGCAATTCATTTGGACCGGAGAGCAGTCATCAAAACAAAAAAAAGAAGATCAGAGAGATCTGATCCAGCCACACAGTCTTGACTGACTACGTATGGGGTCCTCCCAAGCCTAGCCAGCCTCAGCTCCGTGAAAACACAGCAAATCGGATTCAAGATGTACAACGGAATGCACGAGAGAATTGAGTGGTGTCTAAGGTGCGAGTCAGGTGGCGGATCGTGCGGTAAAGTCAGATAAAACGTCCCAGCGGAGATCCCCTCCGCAGCGAGTGTCCTGGTCCGAAAGCATAAAGTCCGTGTCCCAATCAGATAGAGCAAGGTAACTGATGTCAACAGATTTGGCCTGAGGGGCCCTTCTTGTTTGGGCCCGGTCCCACTGAGTCCCAAGCGGTCCTAGTGGAGTCAGAACCGGGTCCCAACCAACAAGAGTTCCACAGAGACCCTACTCTGTCTCTACTGAATTGAAAAACGAAATTTTGCCCCAGCAAGAACCTGTAGACTACCGCCGTTCAGAATGAAATAAACAAGATACTCCATTCATTCACTCATTAGGTGAGTAGGCAGTTCACACACCTCACACACAATCAAGACTATGGAGGATGGAAGAAGAACCCAGAGAACCCCAACAGGCAGTCAATTCCATGCACACACACATGGACACCCTGGTGGCACGACACTTACCTGAGTGGCCGGGCTCTTGAGATGAAAAGAACTCACCCCCCTCTCACATAGTCCTCCTGACCCAATTAGCATCCTCTACACTAGTGTCCTATCATCTAGGAGGGTCAACA